ATCCTGCACGAGCAGGATGGAATGTGGAAGGCTTGGTCATAAGCGTGATGATGTATCAGAAGAAGTTGTGGGATGACTTGCTGTTCAGGCACTGCATGACTTACGAGCATGGCCGTGAAGCAGCTCTGCTTCGGATGCTGACGGAAAACGAGCTGAGCGAGGGGGTGTTTGTGTCGCCTGATGCCTTCAACGAGGAAGTGGTGGATGTTATCTACCTCAAACTAAATCTTGAGACTGGCATCTTGACGATCAAGGCTGTGCAAATTACAATCTCCAAGTGGAAGAACAAGCGAAGGAAGAGGTCACACAAGGTTTGGCAGGAGAGGGTCTTACCAAGGTGGCTTTCGGAGAATTGGAAACTAGAGCATCAGTTCATTTACGTGATGCCGGAGAAGTTGAACAAGGAAAAACTGGAGAAGGTCGAAGCAGATTTGATCAGCTACGTTGCTGCTTGCCATGGAGAGGAGGATACAAATGATGAGGACGATCTTGGAGCGGAGCAGTGCGATGGAGTTGATCTGGCTCAAGTTAAGAGCGAGCCCGCTGAGTTCAAGAAGCTTGGGGACGTCCATCAATGCCTTGCAGAGTTTGATAAGTTTCTGGACCTTCAGGAACCTGCGAAGCTGGACAAGAAGAACATTAAACAGTGTGGTGGTGTAGTACAGGAGATTGGTATTCGATGGGCATGTAGAAGATGGTCTCGCACGGATGCGGAGGTTTATTACTGCTGCCCAGCTCATAATCCGAATGAAATACAACTCCAAAGTAGTTCCAGCTCATAATCCAAATCCACTACTTTGAAGTTGTTTGTGCTGTGTAGGATTGGCTACCGTCGATCTGCTTGGCGGGGTAGAATCGACGGCTTAGCTATGCAGGAGCTTGCGTTGTTCTTTGGTTTGTGAAGGGGAGGCCTGGGCGGAGGCGGAGCATTGCCAGCGGTGGAGCCTCGGCGAGGCCATGGCGATGATTTCCGTCTTGACAGGATCGTAAGGAGCGAGGTCGGAGACGGGCTTGACGGCGTTGGCTGCTGTCAGGAAGCCCCGCAGCCTAGGTTTTGGATTGCGCCAGGATCCATGGAATGGATCGTCGCTGTCATGGTGCGGGACGTTTCAGCAAGCCGTGCGATGTGCGTCATTGAGCAGGAGCAGCACTTGTCCTGGAAAGATGGCGATTTTCAGGCAACAGATCATGGCTGCTGCTTCAAAAGGTTTGAAGGTTCCCCGATTACAGCTACATTTTGATAGGACTTTGAGCTGCATTGCATTCAGGGTATCCGATGACTTCCAAGTTCAGTTCTGATATTTCGTTGAAGCCTACCAAGCCGTTTGAGGGGCAAAAGACTGGGACTAGTGGGCTTAGGAAAAGATACATTTTTTCAAGCTTGATTGAGCTACATTCACTCTGATGGCTCTTCCAGGTTAAGGAGTTTATGCACTATATGGACAATTGGACATAGGTATTCTGTGTTGCTCCTTTTACAAGACTGTGGGCCAGTGGAAAAGAAAATAGGTTATGCAGAACGTAATAGATTCATCTATTATAAACAAACGAGAGTGTATATTCTAGAAGGGGAATTAAGAAAAATAATTTTAAAAGAGTGTAATGATGAATTTTTTGCAAGATACAGTAGAGTGCCCAAAACAATAGGGTTACTCAAGAGGAAGTATTATTGGCCAGGCATGGCTAAAAACATCCAAGACTATGTAAAGACATATTTAATATTAGTAAGTCAAAATCGTGACTAAGGTTAGTGGGGGTTTGTTACAAAACTTCCCAATTCCAAAACATCTGTGGAAATGTCTTACGATAAACTTTATCACAGGACTCCCCCCAAGTGAGGGGTTTAATGCGATATTCGTGGTGTTAGACTAATTTTCAAAAATGGCATATTTCATATCCACCACAACAAAAGTGGATACAGAAGGTGTGGCAGAGCTGTTCTTTAAACAAGTGGTTCGAGTGCGAAAAAGGCCAAAAGAGATTATTTCAGATCGAGATAAGATCTTCACCAATAGGTTCTAAAGAACTTTTTTAGAACAATATCACACTAATGTAAGCGATTAATTTTTCTATTTTACTTTAGTCACTTAACCACACCTCCGACCACTTGAAAGAGTCTCATTCACAACCTCCTTAAGTCCAATTCAGGACTTGGGACTTGCTAGTCCCAAGAATGGCATCCATGCCACTCGTCCCTTACACTTGGTCCAAGTGCTCCACGTGTTCAGTCCCAAGACCAACACCCAAAGGTACCACTAACATATCAGTCCGTTACGCTAAAGCCATGCCCATTCACTTTTGCCACACTAGTGGTCCAATGCCACTTGCATCACAATCCCGTCTCTCCAAGACTGGGCTGTCTATCCACGAGTGGTCATCCCAGATCCACTTTTTAGCATCCTTAGGATGCCCATAGACATGGGGAATAGCCTTCCCCAACATCTCTTTGTCAGTTCCTGCCAAGTCCCTTTTCCTGTCCATGGCCATGTTCACCAATACTACCACTAGATCAAGGCCCATAGGCCCGGCCACTAAGTCCCATTGTCCTCTGGGACTTCCTCACCATGTGACTGTATCCATAGTCACTACACTAGAGGATTGCTCCTCCTCCTTTCCTCATTTGGGATTTCGGGACAACATTTCGGAACACCATGGCCCTACGCAAGCCTCATGGGTACTCTCCCCACCTTCCGCCTTTAGGTGCTCTAGCCATGGGCTTAGAGCGAGGTTCCATTAAACCACACCAGGTATCCAAGTAAGTAGTGCCACCCACACTTGGACTGGGAGCATTGGCCAGTCGATCTCCCAGGGGAACTAGAGCCGGCTCTTGAACACTTCACCAAGCTACCCTACTTGTCGGACCGTATTCACTCTAGTCTTGGACTTCCCAGTGGTCAGTTCATCACCCAACACTGGGTCTGGCCTTCCTGGGCCAAACTGGCTCCATTGCAGTCCTCCCCCTTACTATACTTTTGGAGCTCACCAAACCCCCTAGGGTCTGGGAGACGAACGCTTTGGGCTTTCACCCTCTCAGACTCGAACTCGAACTCAGACTCGGACTCGGACTCGGGCTCAGACTCGGCCTCGGCCTCGGTCTCGGTCCCAATCTCGGTCTCGGTCTCGGTCTTGGTCTCGGTCTTGGTCTCGGTCCTGGTCTCGGTCTTGACCTCGGACTCCATCTCGGGTCCTTCTCGGACTCCATCTCGGATTCCATCTTGGTCCACCTCAGACTCCATCTCGGACTCCATATCGGACTCCATCTTGGTCCATCTCGAACTCCATCTCGGACTCCATATTGGACTCCATCTCGGTCCATCTCAAAGTCCATCTCAGACATTTCCACGTGTCATGTGTTGGTCCTTTTTGGGTCCCTTTTTGGAGCCTTGCTTATTGGTTGCCTCATGCTCGCTCCTCAAGCACTTTGTTGGGAGTTTCACTCCCACTCTCGACCTTCCAAGTCAGAGCTTTTAGTCCAAACGTGTTACGCTCGTTTGGCTTTCGCTTCGGCCACTACCACCTGACACCCTTCCGGCTCCACTTTGAGGCCTAGGGATTTTGTGTCTCACAACTAAGTTGAAATTCAACATAGCCCATCACCCACATACAAGTATCGGGTATTAATTCAAGTTTGATGGCATTAACACTTTTTGACAGACGGACAAACAGAAAAGGTGAATAGGTAGTTGGAGGATTATTTGCAATGCTATGTCTTTGAAGACCAGATTGATTGGGTAAGTCATTTGGCACTTGCAAAAATGTGCTATAGCAACTCACAACATTCGAGTATTGAGGTGAGTTCTTGGGAAGTTATCAATGGGTAAGCTATTGAAGGTCCTATAGAACTCGGCATGGTTGAGTATCATGGAGAGTTATTTGCAGTAAAGGCATTCACGGCAGAAAGACTCAACATTTAGAATCTAGTGAGGGATTCCTTGGAATAGGCTCAACAAAGGCAAATTAAATATGCAAATCAGAAGCGTTAGGATATAGAGTTCCAATCTAGGGATAAAGTGTAACTAAACACCAAAAACATAAGGTTGCCAAGTGGGATCAGCTAGAAGTTGACCCAAAGGTAAAATGCATGTATTTCTAGAAATGAACTAATCTTGAGTTCTTTAAGTAAGTGAGATTGAGGCTCGAATTGGTAAAGTGGCTTACTACCTCTGACTTCCTTGGGAGATGAGGAAAATGCACCTTGTATTCCATGTGAATTTACTCAAGCCATACTTTAAAGATCCACTTTACAAGGACCAAGTAAGACCTTTACCTGAGGTTATCCAAGGGGAAGAGGAATACGAAGTCATGACCATCCTCAATGTGTGCAAAAGCAAGCAATAAGGATATGAAGTGAGGGAGTTTGTCATGAATGTGACTTCGAGTATCAAAAGTTACCTGTCATATAATCTTTTCGGATATTCTTTCCTTACTGCCACAACGGTAGGAGGTCGGTATTATTAGACCCATTATCAATTCTCACTTGAGCTAGTTGAGAAATTAGTCAATGAACATACACTTAAATTGGATAAACATAAAGTAGGAACTCTATGTGTTTCTTGCTGAGCATACTTGGCTTGGTTTGAGAAACTTGTCTTATTGGCTTGCACTTGCTAGTATCAAGAACCCCCGCGATATTGAGATTGATCCTTTAATATTCATTAGATGATAGCTTACTGTATCTACCAAACACCCTCGTTATCATGCACCTTGCGTTAGTACCATTCGGTCCCAAATGCTAATTATAAAAAGTGTCTAGATTTGCTCATTTGGCACATCTAATCTGTAGTTGTGTGGGATTCCAAATGTAAAGTAGAGATAATGGGTAGGTCAAGCATGGCCGACCAACCTAAGGCATAGTTTAACTTCCACTTGTGTGCCTATCCTTGTTTTGCATCCGGCTTGGGTCTAAGCCCAAGTTCAATTCCATGTTACTTGGTGGAGTACCCATGTGCTTGCATTAAGCCACCGGTATGCTAAAATAATGGTAGATTCTGTTTAGCTCTGTTTTGCATGTTAGTTCTGGCAATGGGATGTTGGTTGCTTTAAGACTATTCCAAGTTGCTCTGGGTTCCTGTCCCTTCACTCCTTGGGCTGTATGCTCGGGAGTTGCTCTGTGATCCAGTTCCATCACTCCTTGGCTCCATGCTTGGGAATTTGGCACCGTTCCTTCGTTCAATGGCCCAAGGCCCTAGACCTCAGGTTTCACACCATTGTCCTATGGACACATGGCATATGACATGTGGCATATGGAGGGTTTAGGTTTCGCTTCATGGTGTTATCTTATGGTAAATCACCATAGGATAAAAGGTAAAAATTATGTGTGCTACAGAGTTTCATGTGAAGTGGAAAGAATTTCTATATTGTGAAGCAATATAGGAACTAGAGGAGAATTTAGTGAACGCACAAGATTTAGTGGAGGAATTTTTGCAAGGTAAAACTTTATATACTTATGCAAAATTCAATTAAAGAATCTGTTTGAGAAATTGAGCAATGTCGTATGTTGGACCCAAAAGCGTGCTGAAGGTAAACTAATTAGCATGGGTTAGTTAGGTCGACCAAGCATAAGGAACTACACCCAACTCCCTACAAGGATGTTAAATCCGTAAATGTATTCTACAAAGGTTGGGTTCAAATCCCAACCCTCTAGTAAAGCAAGGTTGGGTTCAAGTCCCAACCCCATACTAGAACGTGGTGAAATGAGGGGTATAGAAACATTTATATTCCATTGTTATGGGCTTCTGGTTGAGGAGGCTAACTTAGGCACACCACTAAGTTGGGGGATGCCGGAGATATGGTCAACAATGCTTACTCCCACCCAAGGCCTCTTGGCCCTAGTCTTAACCTCAAGTCAGTTTGGAAGTTTAGAAGCACCACTGGAGAGTTCCTTCAAAACTGATTCTTGAACCTCACTATCCCTATTATACTTTTGGAACCCCTTGCAGCCCCCCCTCCTGGAAAACATATGCTTTGGGCTTTCACCCCATGACCTGTATTAGTATTTGGACTTGGTTTTGAACTCGTTCTTGACCTCAGACTCGATCTCAGACTTGATCTCAAACTCGATCTCAGACCCAACCTTAGACTCTATCTTGGACTTGATCTTGGACTCGGTCTGGGACCCAATCTCAGATCTTGGACTTGATTTCGAACTTGGTTTCGAACTCGGTCTCAGAGTCCGTCTCAGACTCGATCTCGATGAACTTTTTATCATTTTGGTCGTGCTTTCGGGGATCCTTCAGCTTATAACACCTTGGGGAGTTGGTTCCTTACAACTCCACCACCCATAAAAGAAGTTCGATGCCCACATTGAATGTCTTTTTTTAATCTTATGACTAGCTTAGGTGGTGCCGGAGGGGCCACCCAAAAAAGTGCTCAAAAGCAGCTCCCACTCTTGGAAAGGAAATCAATTATGGTGCTCCCGG